AATTGAAAATATTTAAAAATGAAATTTTTTATCTAGAAAGATTACATTTTTTATTCTAACAATCACTAATGTACTAAACCTAAAATTCTTGACCTAGAAAAATATGTTGATACTGCGCATTGAATTGGCAACAGTTTCATATATATTATATCTTTCAAAATCAAATTCATTAGAAAACTGCCGAAATAAAGCTCGGCTTGTTTACTTACTTTTTGGGTGGTGGTGTGGTAGCAGAATCACTGTCGCTTGCCATTTTCCAAGGCATATTTACACATGAACCGCAAGAAGTATATGTTTGCCACTGTCTACATCTCTAAGCTAAAAAGAGAAAGCTATACATATTTCAAGAAATGCACCTCTTTTGGTAAATACAATCCGTAGAAAATCCATGAAATTAGCGAAATCCTGGGAAATCCGTTTAAAAATCCGTGTACTTTTTTATGAACGCGTGAAAACCGTGCAGAACGGAAAAATCCGTGCATCTGGCATCACTGAATACGTGCGCTGAGCGCCTGTAGTTGCTGAATGACGTAGTATTTCCCTTGTGGTTTCCGCAGCACCACCCCAAAAGCTGGAGTATCTGGCAACCGTTCTAGTATACCTAACTAACATCATGTTACGATTATACAGGGGGTCCAACGTGAATTACATTTGCCGATATGAACATTGCACCTGTTGTACCCTATTCCCCTTCTTCGTCGAATACCTTATTCACATTTATTTGATCATCCACCCTATTTCTTACTATCCATTAATGTAATTCCTTTGTAATTCTTCATATCTTCCTATTGCTTTTCTTATAAAGTAATATAAAGATATACAAACATATATAGATTTAAATTTGCTGAATAGAATATGTAAATTAATTAATATTGTGGGAACAAATTATAAGGGAAACATATAAAATAAATGTTATGTTGAATAACCATTCCAATGAAGAAGTTGAGGTTTAACAACTAAAAAAGATGGAGTTATGGAGATATGTTGTCACCTACTAGTATTTTCTGATAACTGAAATTTTTCTGATGATAGACAAGAGCCTTTTTAAGGTATGTACTTGTCCAATTGAATCAACGACGCATAATATCCATATGCATGAGTAAGGCACGTAAATTAAAATAGTAAGAACGAATTCAGTTTTTAGTCAGTAATTCATCGAAATTGTCAGACCTGAATCGCGATTTACTAAGGCAAGCATTGGTAACATGTCGCCGTCCGGAAACATTTGACATACTTAAGTTAGCAGCAAATATCAGTCTTAGAATTAAATCTATTAGAAAATAAAGGTTTTACTACCCCTACCTTCTCTACATTATATCAGTACTTCTATGCTGGGCGTATTGTTGTCAAATAATCACATCTAATGATGTCACATAGTGGTGAAACAATACTATAGTGTCAATAATAAAGCTTCTGAAACTATAATTTGTTATCTTTGTTTAATTAACGATTACTTACCTACATTTGACTAAATTATTGCCAAACACTCGTGGGAACCAAAACTTAATACCTACAATAAAAATGTCAACGTCACTATCTCATTTATAAAACGATAATTACGTGATAACATTATGTTTTTAAGTTTATTTGCATAATTGTAATTTTTTTGTATCGTATACATCACACAGGAACAAACAAAATAATTTCTGGGTAAGATTATCACGTATAAATATATAAGCAATTGTAGAAAAATATGTTCTTATATCATTTACGATGAAGCATCTTTCAGGTGTACTTGTAAGATTACTTGCATCTTTTTATATTGTATTTGTTATTATCAATCAATTTTAGGTGTTTCTTACACTACTTCTCAACTTTTCATCAGGACAATCAATTTGCTGCATAGGTGCCAATACCTTTCAGATATGTTCTAATTTTTTGGGTTTAATACAAATTACAATTGGACCTGTAATATCCTGTCCAACTGGATACATTTGCGATGCTTCTTCTAACAGTCCGTAAGAATAATTACTGCAATGTTACCAATTATTAACCCTATAACATATTGCATAATAATAACAATTTGCACCGCTGATTGATTCAAAAATGAGGTAAATACTGTTTAAACTAGAGTAGGATTAAACCGAATTACAATTATTAAGTGTTAAGGTATATTTGCAGATTCGTTCAACTTTTAATTGACAGAGCGATATTCACTGGTTCGAGAAAGAACTTTTTAAAAACAATTAGAAACTGCTAAATGAACAAAATTTGACTTTATTGAAATGTAAATCTACTTGTTTTAGTCACAAGACGAAAATTAACGTAAAAATGTAGTACAGTAGTATTTATAATCTCTGAACAATAGAATAATTGTAGAAAATAAGCATTCTAGGTAGGGTTGCCATAAGTCCCGTATATTTGAGTATCACGTCCCTCACTGTTACTTGTCCCGTTTTTGTCCCGTTTATCAATATTTCAATATACACGTACTAAAGGCTCGAAGCCGACGGCAGGCGAGAGATGCGCGGGCGCGCGTGGTTGCGTGGTGAGGTGAGGGAGGGGCGGTGCGGACCGCTTGGTCACTATCAGTTCAATCACGTAATCATAGTGAAGTCGTGTGGATTTCTTGATGCTCGTTCGCCGCCCGCCTACGCGCGCTCCGGTCACTCGTACTTCGCAAATTACAAAAGATGCCAAAGAGAATGTGTCATTTTAAAGATGAATATACTCAAGTAAAATCTACGTCAAAATATGACTGGGCGAAGAAACAGGAACCTCTTCCTGGTGGTTCTTCTCGACATAATTAAACTGGTTTTCGACTAATTTGTCATGATTGGAGTGACTTGTTTTTGTTGTCGTTGTTTTCCATTGATTTTTTATTATAATAAACCGTCACTACCCTTATTTTTAGTTTTCATTTATTTACCACTAATAAGTCCCGTATCAGTTCTCAACAATAATGGCAACCTTAATTCTTGCTGATGTAGGTGCAGGCCGCTTATCTTTATGCTATAGACATCACTGCCCCATCCTTAGATTGAGCCGTCCCGGCGAAATTAATATTTTCCAAGTTCGGATTTAGGGAACTTTCTTTTAGCTCCAATAGTTCAAATTTTGGTGTGGGTTTTTATCGTTCCTTTTTCTGTGCAAGAGGCATAGTAATACAACTACAACACAAACTAATTATTGTAATATATGAATAATGTAAATAGATTGAATATTTTAATACAATTGGCTTGATCTCTTGTAGATTTAAGTGGTTTAATGTTTTGATAGTTATTTGTTTTGGAATTGGCATCCTTTATGGGCGTAGGGATCTGGTAGTTTTAGTTGATCTTATAATTTTCCTGTATTTTTATTGGTGAAAGCATATTCGAATCCACAATAACCGGGCATTGTGATTGGATTAAATAATTTCCATGTAATTCCATTTCTTGTAGTTTTGGGTTTCCACATTCTTCCTACATTTTAGTTGGTTTTCCAGCATGTAAAATTAGTCCTCGATTTTCCATTTCTTATACCAGAGTTTTTCCTTGGATATTTTTGACGTATTCATATTGGTCGTTCAGTCGACAACGTGAATTATGAAAATTTACAATAAATGAGAAATTTTTTATATGGAAAGGTGAGTCTGAGCAAATAAAATTTGACGTGACATAAGATGCGNTGTTCTTAATTGAAAAAATTATTATTTGCTTTCTCATTATTAGAAAAATTATCAATAACTGTTTTTTGTGAAAATTTAGAATGATTTTCTAAATGGGCCCAATACTATATGTTTTCTCCAAGTACTTCAAGTGCTAAATTTTAAAGGACGGTTTACTCGTTCTTTTTGTGATTTATGTAAGTTACTTGTATGATGCTTTAGCAACGCAGTTGAGTTTTCATACCACGATTTTAATTTGTTTCAAGCAATGGTATAATTTACGTCTGATAAGCCAAACTCTTCGACAGTTATATAATTTTTTAAATAATTACATTTATCAACATTATCCAGATTTATATTTTTGTGAATCATAAATACAAAAGAATTGTGAAATTTTAACCCGTTATCTTATGTATATTAAGCGCAGGTAACCCTAATGTCCAGTTATTTTATGCTCTTACGTGCAATTCGAGTTTCGTCCGTTGTTTGCGATGTAAATTGTAATGTTTGTGCACTTATTAATTGTGTTTAAAAAAAATTCTGCGGCTTTGAAACTGCATGAAAATAACTGTGAGCACACTCGGTATATCATTATCATAATTCAAAAGTGTAACATTTAATATGTGACTCATTTTTATGCTGGCATAGAAAAATCTCGACACAGTGCGACAACTAGGTCAGAGATATTTCACAAACAAGTGTAACTTGCTGATCTAACTTTAGTGCAAAACCATCGGATGCTGCAGTAGTGTCAATTCAAGATAGATGCTGGAAAGTGTCCAACGTTATTATAAAATCGGTTCATATCAGAACAGCAATTTCGCTGGTCATAAATCACTGCAGTAGTGACCCCGACTAAGGAACAATCGACTACAGTAATGAACTACATTGGTGCCTACAGGGTGAACCTTTCTCTTTGAAGGATAGATTCTCCAAAGGGTACAATTAAGTTAGCACAAATAAGTTTATATGTATTGCAATGTTACATATTAACTTAATGCTAGATGTCATTACGATATCTGTAGTGATGTATTGCACTAGTTGGTTCCTAGCCATTTGGGTACAGTAGCTATTGAGTTGAAAGTGTTAGTGAAGTTGGTGATGCCTCTTGGTGTAGTTATTCTTCACTGTATTGTCGGATGCCCGAGACGTGTTCGACAGATATGTTCCTTGACCACCGTATCGTGTCCGCAACCATAAGACGTCTCACTGGTTTTGCATAGTCTTTTCGAATATCCAGTATTTTTTCAGGATTCTCTCATTCTCCTGGTCCCCACGTGCCAAGAGCCCCAAATCAGTTCTTTCTAATAAGGATTACTTAATGACGATACGGCGCCGATACTACGTACCTACCTATGGACTAAGCCCATCAGTATGTTGTCAAAATTTTTTTCTTGCTATGTTCCTGCAGTTTCTAATTCGGACATCTATTTTTAAAGAAAAAATTAAATGAACAAGTCTTGGTTATTTACAATTTCATGAAAGCCTCAATCATTTATTTAGAACCAGCTCTGTTAAAATAGAGCTACAACACCTCTCATAGCTATTCCGAACACCTAGTAGTAGAATTTGTCTTTATATAGGGAGCAATGTTATTACAATTATCTGAAATTATGGTAGCTAATAATTCTGTTGGGATGTTGGTAAAAAAGGAACTGGTATCATAGCTAACAGAAATGTAATTGTCAGGGACTACTATGATAAACAACTTATTGATCAGTTCGAAGGAATTTTTAAAATTAAGTTCTGGATTTTTTGGGGTTCCAAGTTTTTGTTGATGAACTTCTTCTAGGACTAACTACAGTTGAAATTATAGGGGTTATGGGAAGATTATGGATTTTCGATAAGCCGTAGATGTTTGCTGCAATGGGATAGCGAATCTAATAGCAAATTTTGAAATCTCTAACACGCTTAGTTTTCCTAAAATGTCTAATCTACCACTCAGTTAAAAGAATTCTGTACGGCTTAGGTACAACTTTTATTAATGAAGTGCTTAATTTTGATAAACGTTTGTGGTCTTTATTTAAACAAAGTGTTCCCATATAATTTTGATTAATGATATCAGTTAATTTATTACTTCCCGTGTTAGCCATACCATTGATTTGGATGTTTGGGTTACCGTGAACTGATAAGAGCTGTTCGGCAGCCCTGTGAACCGATTCATACTTTTCTCATTGTGTATTTCTTATTATATTCATTCTACATTCGTCATTGTCATGATAAAGTTGTACACGAGTTACTTTAATAAACTTCTAAAATAACGCCTGCGTTTGGCCATTCTGATTGCAACAGTTTTAGAAGTGGGATTAACAAAATCCAAAGTATTCGTGTGTGGTGGTTTTCATTAAATTACTGGGTTTTGTTTATTGGAAACGGATCTTAGTGTTGATCTGCGCGCGTAGAGAGCGATTCCTACTGATAGATCGTAACACGGGAAGAACTGTTATAAATAAAATGTCAACCGGGAGATTACCTGAAAACACATCAGCGGCGATGGAGACGGCAACAAGTAGTGAGGATCGAGAAACAGGTCAGCGATTTTTTCCAAATATTCAAAGTGTTTTACCGGAATTTGATCCTGTCAAAGACAACGTTTCCATTGACCAATGGATCGCTAAGATCGAAGAGTACGGCGAATTGTATAAAGAGATGAAGTTACCATCAAACATTACGGGTTGTTACAATTAATTGGAGTGGCGAAAACGTGGCTTCACAGTCTAAGCCCCGACGCAAGTAAAACATGGTACAAGTGGGCGGTACTTTTGAGGGAAACTTTTGGAACATCTGATAGCGCAATAACTCGAAGACTTGAAGCGCAAAATTACTGTTGGAAAGGTAATCAGAATATCACCGAATATTTCTTTGAAAAATTAGCGAGATGCAACAGGTGTGATATGAATACTGCCGAAACCATTGAGTGGATTGTGGATGGTTTAAATAGTACAAGATTCAGGGATTATCTAGGACCACTGCATAGGTATAAAATAACAAGTCAACTACTACAAGATTTGAAAGCTGGATCCAAACATATTAGTCGAAATTTTGATACAATACCAAAAGGAAATGCATCTGGATTTCAAAATAAATTCAGTGGCAAGCCAGTTGCACAGGATCCTGGAAAAAGTCGACATCGTGCTGTAAAGTGTTTCAAATGCTCTAATGAGGGACACTATGCAAGAGATTGTCCTACCAAACATTCAAACAGAGGACAAAATACAGTGACCTACAACAACAATGATAGGAATGGGAGCAGTTCTAATAGAAACAATAGTGTTTTACAAGTTAATGAAGAAAACAACAGAACCCATTCAAAATATTTTAAAGATGCATATGTCAATAGAAAGTGTTTGAGGTGTTACATTGATTTAG